GAGAACATCGTAGACCATCAAGGGCTCGATGCGATTCGTTTAATTGATTTTGGCGCGGCTGATGTTCCTCCAGGATTATTGGTCGACCTGCCTGCCGCTCCCGAGGCCCCACGCCATGCCCCTGGTCCTCTTCCCTCTCCTCCTGCTGACCCGCTCCCTGCTGCTGCTGCTGCTGCTGCTGCTGCCAGGGTGGTGGTGGTTGAGGCTGAGAGGGAGAACGGTGGCGTGGAAGACGCGGATGATGAAGGTTACGGTCTCGGGCCTAGGCGCCCATGGCTGGTCAACCAACACTCGGTTCTAGAAGCAGGTGTCGCTGGGCAGGAGCCGATCCTTTTTTGCACGACGTGCTACAAGTTCGCTGTGCATCGTAAACAACGGGGCCTTTGCAGTCCCTGCCTTGGCCCTCGGCGGGTCACTGGCGGCTCGGCGTACACCGTTCGGAAGCGGCTGCGTGGGCGCATGCACCCCACGGAGGAGGGACTGGCTCTGGACGAGCCCCAGGTCCCTTCCACAGCCACTCGGGAACGCTGGCGAGATCATTTTGGAGCTGACGCGGAAGGGGCCGGTCGGCCCCCCAGCAGGCTCCCTGCGTTCTCGCAGCAAAGGGCCGCTCCTCGGCTCGGCATGGAAGCCTGTTTGAAGGCGTTCGGGTCCGAGACTCGGGCCGAAGCTGAGGAGCTCGGGTTGTGGGCTGTCCAGGCCCGCGCTGAGGCCCAGGCTCGCAAATCCCGGGAAGAGTGCGAAGCCGAAGCTGGAGAGTTCGGCTAGCGCTGTGTGGGGGTGGGGTCGCCTTGTCGGGGGCCCTGCCAGAGGGATGGAACCTCTGGGGGGGGCCTGACAAAAGCCTCCTTGGATAGGCGGACCCACCCCGTTTTTCCTCTCTCACCCCTGGACCTCTTTCCCTCTATGGGCAGTGAACCTCCTCCTCCTCCTCCTCCTCCTCCTCCTCCTCCTCCTCCTCCTCCTCCTCCCTCCCTCCCTCCCTCCTCCTCGCTCCTCCTCGCTCCTCGTCCTCCTCGTCCTCCTCCTCGTTCTCGCTCATCCTGGCTCCTCCTCGCTCCTCCTCGCTCCTCCTCCTTCTCCTCCTCCGCCTCCTCTCCGCCCCTCCCTCCGCTCTCCTCCTCCGCCTCCTCCTCTCCTCCCTCCTCCTCCTCCTCCTCCTCCTCCCTCCTCTCCCTCCTTCCTCCTCCTCCTCCTCCTCCTCCCCTCCTCCTCCTCCTCCTCCTCCTCCTCCTCCTCCGTCCACGCCCTCATCCCTCGGCCTTCCTGTCTTTCTCCTCTCCTCCTCCTCCTCCTCCTCCTCCTCCTCCTCCTCATCCTCCTCCTCCTCCTCCTCACCCCCGCACGCGAAGAGCGCACGACCCTTAGAAGGAGGAGAGGAGCGAAGGAGAAGAGAAGGAGAAGGAGAAGGAGAAGGAGAAGGAGAAGGAAAGTAGAAGGAGAAGGAGAAGGAGAAGGATAAGGAGAAGAAAGGAGAAGGAGAAATGAGAAGTAGAAGGAGGAGGAGGAGAAGGAGGAGGAGGGAGGAGGAGGAGGAGGAGGAGGAGGAGGAGGAGGAGGAGGAGGAGGAGGAAACGATCGAAATGGAGTGAAAAGAGAAAGAGGGGTGGGAAGACGCGCCATTGAGGGAGGCGGAGGGAGATGGAAGAGGAGGAGGAAGAGGAGGAGAAGGATGGGGAGCAGGTGGCAGGAGGTGAAGAAGAAGAAAGGAAGGAGGCAGCAGCGAAGGAGGAGGTAGGGAGGGGGAGGAGGAGCGGGGGTGGAGGCGGGGGGGAGGCGGGGGGGAGCGTGCGCAGGGAGCAGGAGGTAGGAGGCGGGAGGAATCAGGAGGGAGAAGGAGGCGGATTGATCAGGAGGGAGGTCGAAGAGGAGGCAGGAGGAAGAGGGAGCGAGGGAGTGAAAGGAAGAGAGAGAGAGAGGGAAAGACAAAGAGATAGAGACAGGCACAGAGACAGAGAAAAAGACAACGAGAGAAGGGGGGAATAATCAATGAAAGGACATCCCGTGTCACCCACCTCCCTCCTCCTCCCTATCCCCCTCCACATCCTCCCCATCCTCCTGCACCTCCTCCTCCTCCTCCTCCTCCTCCTCCTCCTCCTCCTCCTCCTCCTCCTTCCTCTACGTCCTTCTCTCAACTCCCCCCTTTCCTCCGCACCATCATAGCAATCATCACCCTCATCGCCACCGTCGTCGGCATCGTCGTCACCATCGCCACCGTGCTGAGAGAAGAAAGGGGCGAAGAACAGGAAACCGTTTCCACGGTGCAGTGGTAGTCTGGAGCATCGCCAAGTCTTCGCGAAGGTCTCTGGGCTGACTCTCTTCCCACGGCTGGAGGCACCTGCAGCACCTCGCTGTGAGGAGAGAAGGGGCTCGGACACATCAGAGCTGACAGCGCACAGACGATGGCAGATGTGAAAAAGAGGCCTAAGGTTGGCAGCGGGAACCCCAAGAAGACGGCTACGTTAGGGTCACATATCCCAAGGGGAGAGCGTCGAACTTGTGTGTGCAGCAGCCTCGCTGTGGAAACGTACAGTTCCCTCGGGAAATGCTCTGGGTATGCAGACCAACCGCATGGATCCCACGGGACGTGCCATAGGCTTTCCATGGCCTCCGAAGCTGTAAGACATTGGAAGAAAGCGCTGCTTCTCCCAAAGACACTCATGGGCACGCACTCCCACGCTGTATCAGAAGCAACGGACGGAAAACGGGCAACATGATTCAGGGTCGTCAAGCAGTACGTCGTGGCCCGACTCGATGACGACGGGTGGCAGAGCTGGGCCACGCGGCGGCTTCGCTGCGTCGAGTGCTTGGCGCAATGCGTGTGCGGGCGGAGCAGCGCCGAGTGCTCCTCTCGAGCATGGTCGAGTGTTCGTGAAGACCTCCGGGTGGACTCCCTTCCCGCGACCGAGGCAGCTGCAGCACCCTGCTGCAGCAGGCGCTCGAACGTGCTCGGGCTGGTGCGTCCAGCGAGGGGCGGCCGCCGTTGGGACCCTTCGTGCAAGAGGCGCGCGATGCCGTCGATCCTCTCGCTGTCGTCGAGCCGCTCCGCGTACATGTCCCAGGTCTAACGCCAACATCATCCACTCGTTCCTCTTGACAGGCCACCAATTCAACCCAGTGGTCCACATCGTCCATGGCGCGCCTCGGGGACGCAGCGACCCGGGTCAAAACAAACCCGGGTCAGTCAGGCCTTGCAGGATTCAAGATCCTTCAGGATCCTGCTGGATCCTGCACGCAAGCCTGGGTCAGTGCACACCTGGCTCTTCAGGATCCTGCAAGATCTGGCGCCCTGGCTGACCCCCGTTTGCATTGACCCCCGTCTCTTGAGCCCCGAGCGCCGCGCCAAAGAACCGCTTACCAGGAAGCAGTTGCCCCGGGCACGCCTCCGACCGAGTTGCGCCCAACGAGCGCCGCGCTCAACTCTGCGCGTCCTACGGCCTGGGCGCAGCACCACGCGGACGAGCCAGGTGAGGGACGCTTGCGCGCCCTGGCCCACAGGAAATT